TATCTTGAATCAACATGACAAAAAGTGCATTATTTCCCTAGAAGTAATAATAATAATACCCCATTAGTTCATCCAATAATTTATGTGTTATTATGTTTGCCTTTACTACAACCAATATCAATTCTCATGCATTGATATAACTAAAATATTATAAATTATATGTATAAATATTATACTTAAAGTCATAAATTACATAATAGGATATTAATAAATCCAATCGTTTGTAAAAATGAACAATATATAAAATTACAAACTATTTTACATATAACTATATTGATTGCATAATATATATTGATTAGTCTATTTTTTATAAATGTAAGGAATCATGACTAATAATTAGTTGAAAAATATTAAATTATATTATTATTATTATTATATAATTTTTTTTTTAATTTGAATTTCTTTCCATAATGAAATTATTGTAAATTACATTTTCATGTCATAGTATGGTAAATAAACTAAAAAAAAATTATAGGATGCAAATTATAACAAAAAAAATTATTANCATATATAATTATTTTTTTTTTTCTAATTATTATGAGACATGATAAATACTAAAAAATGAATAAAATCATACATTGTTTATATGGTAAAAAACTTTATGAACTATATTTTTATTTTAAATTTGTTATATAATTTTAATGCATTACACTAATAAATAATATTAGCGTACATTAAATATTTATCACTACATAAGAAGAAGAAGAAGAAGAAGAAGAAGACTACTTCTATGACTATTATAAATAATAATAATGACACTATATGACAACATCTTTTTAAATAAAAAAAGAGTTGAGGTGAAGAAAAATAAGTGAACCTATTATTTTTTGATATATCAAGAAATAAATATATGTATTAATAAATATATTAATATAATAAGTTAGTAGGTTAATATATTGTTTAACTTCCAGGTTGGTCCTAACAAGTTCAGGTTTAACGGCCCGGCCTAATAATAATAATAATAATAATAATAATAATAATAATAAAAAGAAGAAGAAGAAGAAGAAGTAGAAGACTCATTAAAATAGGTGAAAAATAAATAATCAACCTTATTCTTTTATGGGTTAAACGGCCAAGCCCTACGAGACTTCATCTATTTAATATCGTTATTTCGTGTCACCCATAGATAGATACAGATAAATAAAAAGAGCTCCCCATATATAGAACTACCTTAGAACAACATATACATTCCTCATTGCGCAATATCATAATTATGTCAAGAATTTCCAACCTTTGACCATGGTGATTGATGAGGTAGCTTTAAAATTAGTTTAGTCGGACGAAATCTAAGTTTAGTAGGATGAGATGTTTTAGGTTGTGTGTATATCTCAACCTCAATCCTATTGAACAATGCCACCTCGAATTACTTGATGAGGTTTAATTAGGTCCTTGTGAAGGTTGTTACTTTCATTAAGTTGAAAAGTTCAATATTCATTAATTATGCACCAGCTAAAAAATGATAATAAATATTCTACCAAAACAAAAAAAAAAAAAAAAATAGTATTTTTCAGCCGCAATTACTATGGAAGGGTGCAACTGAAAATAATTTCACTATAAAACTTATTATTCCACATATGAATCGTTTTGAAAAATTAAAGAGAATATGAAATTTATTTTACATTGTAAATGGATATAAATTAAATGAAATTACATTCACATTTAAGTTCATAAATTTGGTATAATACTAATAAGAGGATGAATAATTAAATATTGATTAGAAATTAGAATATAAAAATTTAGTAGTAGATTGATAATGAATTTTACATCAAATGTATAGCAATATTTGGTTGTAATTTGAAACCATGAGTTTTATTAGATATCTATCCATATGATGGAGGGCTAATTCTACCCAATTGGTTAATGCACACTGTTGCAGTTATTGGATTGTTTGCTGTTGGATCAATATTACATATTCACAGAGACATATATAATAGATCAAATGATAAAAAAACTAGATGACGACAATACAATCAAATGCGTGTTAATCAAACGAATGAAATATTTAACCCGACAAGTGCAGTGCAATGTAGTCACTCATTGGGAGGTTGAAAATTTTCGTAATGTTGAGGCGAGGAAGGTGGCCACGTAGCACTTCCAACGTTTTAGGACACAGCAAAGTAGTAGTTAGCTTGTTTAATATAGCACGGATAAATGTTTAGAAATTTCTATAGAATACGCCTTTTCTACTTACATGTTAAAGGAAAACACAAATTTTCGTAATTTTGATGCCACATATTTTGATTTTTTCCATCTGAAGAAATGGTACCAACTACCAAGATTCAGAAACCCCC